TATTTTTCATACGTTTTTTCCAATACAAACATTTTAAGCGATTGAAATAATTTCTATGCTAAATCTTCAATGACAGAGATGTTAAATATTTTAAGAATTGAAAATTGAAATAATCGGATAACCACGAGAATTTTGATGAATAACAAATTTCTCACGTCAAATGCGATGATAAAATTTCCAATTTCCGATAATGAATGTGTTAAAGGCGATATAGTTTATAATTTGATAAGATAATGATTTTTACAGAGTGTTATAACAATAAAATTGGCACTCAAATTCGTATAACAAGTTAATGAAGAGGCGTATCGGAAGTATTATAGCGAGATCACGAGCAATTTTGAGAGGGGTGAGAAACCATTGCGAAAATGATTGTTTAGAAGGTATTAATCCGCAGCGCGACGAGCTGATTCGTTTATAGAAGGGCGAGTGAGACACGCGATAAAGCGAATGTTTGCGGATGATTCCATCTTTCGAGAACGGAGGAATTCCATCGGGAAATCTTCTGTTACGCTATGATATACTACAGAGCCTCGTCGGAGATATTATTTATGGCACACTCTATAATCGTATTCGGGTGTGCATGCGGGTTTATAGCGGGCTCGCATGCGCTTGTAATTACTCAACCGCGTATTAATTTTGCAAAATTACATTGTCGATAAAAAATGTATACGTTTCATGCAAAAAACGTTAAGGTAAAATGTAATTATTTCGAAACGATTACTGTAATTTTGCAAAATCATTATTGTCACAAAGCTTTTAAAAGCTTTTATACGGGAATTATTTATGTTAAGCATGAGTGATAAGTAATTCGGCGTGAAGTCATTTAGAAGTAGTATCGTTTATTCTTCCATTCCAGTCAACTAAAATATATTGATTCACGGATTTATTAAAAAAAAATGAAGAGAAAATATTGAAAAGAATTAGAGACGCACATCGAGATCAATATCTTCCTTTTTCCAACGTTCTACGTTTCCAACTATTTGTTGAAATCAATATTAGTAATAATACCTTCAATCGATCCGTAGGAATCGAGGAAAGTAAGGAATAATATTATTGCAGACTCCAGTGCTTAAATTAAGGATAGCAATTGCTAGATTAATCATGAAGCAACGTGACTGTAAAGGTGGTTCGGAGCGAGGATCGATATCCTCGTGCGCGATATTCTCGTTGCATCTATTTTTTTCTAACCAATAAGCTTTTGCGATGAAATCCACGTTAATCCACGCTAATCAATTATTAGATCAAGATATATTCTTTTCAATGATTTTAATGATAACCGAGATATCAATCGCGTTAAATCGCGCTTTATTCATCTTCCAAACTATATGATTGTATGATATAAGATTCTTTTATATTTAAAACATGTTAAAATATATTTAATTGTATGTAAAAAAACCGACACACAAAAAAATTTTAAACCGATAGGAATGTCAGCTTCTTTGATATCTGGAAGGGTTGAGATTACAACAAAGGCTTAGAGTCAAGCTGGTTAAACTCCAAGTTTACTTCGCGATCCTGAAACGCTGCGGTATACAGTTTCTCTCGCCACATGTCTATTTTTATTCGTCTCGGCTGAAATGCGACCGTAGTTCATCGTGGTAAAATCTAAAAATCGAATAGTGTAGTGTGCTAGAATCAATAATCGATACATCGCGATGCGGCGCTCCGAAAAGCCGGTGACCGCGGCGCGTGGATTGGAAATTGCAGCGCGCGCGCGGTGCAACCACCCCCTCGTCCCTTTGCCGCGCTGCAATCCTTATTGTGCCGTTGTGCCGTGCCGGGGATGCACGTGACCCCAATGGCGCCACAGGCGGGTGCGACGGCCCTGAGGCCGCTCGCGTCGCGGCTCGTCGAAGCGTGCCGAGGCCGGCCGACGGCACACGAGGGCGTAGCGACGGCAACCACGTTTCTACCCTCGTTTCCAGTCCGTCGTGGTGTGTCTCGTCGGCCGCCGGCTCGTCCGACAACCACGCGCGTTGCTCTGTTTTCTCTCCCTCTCTCTCTCTCTCTCTCTTCTCTCTCTTCTTCTTTCTCCTCC